CATTCCTGTAAGCATATATGCATGACTGAGGGTAAGAAATCTTATTGACAAGGCATAATTTCAATGAGCATTTCACATGTTACTGCATATTATTTTTAGAACTTTTTTTAACAGTTCACACTTACACCTAGTCATCTATAGAAGGGGAAATAGATGCTGGAAGGAGAGGTGCTCAAAGTATTATGTATTCCCCTTAAATAGTGTAAAGCAAAATGGGTGTTCAGAGCCCCCATTTACTTATATCAGATGTCTAATGTCCTATAGCCTTTATATATTACTAGTATGTCTATCCACCAGCCTGTTTCTCATGAGACTGAGTGCTGACTGGCATCTAGCTCGGGCAGGATGTACGGCTTGAAATGCTATTTGAAGTGAAGACCATGAATGTACAGATATAGTTGAATACCCTCAGTTGCCTAGCTTGGGTACGGGTAAGTAGTATGGCTGTGATGATGCAGCATTTTTACAAAGCCAGGTAGCCTAGCAGAAAAACTAGTTCTACCAGACTCAACAGAAAATGAAGGTAAATATACTGTTTTGTACCCTGTAGCAAGCTGGCTTTGGCTTCCTACTTCATACCAGAAGTATAGAGGTAGATAGAAACAAGGAGCAAAGTAACCTCACGGGGTCTTATCTTAGTTGCTGCATGTCCATCAAGTTTACCAAGGAAAGCCCTATTCACTTCATTCTCTTAAATTAATCAGTCCATGGGGAAGACAGGGCTGTACTGCCCTGGCCAACTTGTCCTTTCAGATAGTGAAGTTCAAAATAGTTCACTTTTTCTCATGCAGTCAACCAGACAAATTACTGTGGCTGTTACACAGAAACAGAAGTGATTTTTTTTTAATTGCATCTTGCATTGTTCAGAGGCCTTGTATAACTCTTCTAATTATTTCCAAATCCTTTTTGGGAACTACTGTCAAAATAGCTTGACCATATTAAATCAGTTTAAGATGGCAGTGAAAGGGCAATATAGTCAATTTTTCCACTCTTGATGATTGTGAGGTTTCTGCATCCTTCTGAGGTGCACCTCTTGGCTACTGTAAATTGGTAGCAGAACTCTAACTTCCTGATTTGACTTGTGTGATATTCCTGGTGAAAATGATTCTGACTCCCGGTTTCAAAGCAAGCTTAAAGATCAACTTCAGAGCTTCAAGCAGTAGGTGTGAGTCAAGAAATTACGTGTAAAGGGAAGTAAGAAGCTTTGATAACTGACTTGCTACAAGGAATACCTCTATGCAATCTGATGTAGTTGTGGATTTCTTGTTTAATGTCTTATTTCATATGCCTAGATGACCCTTTATGTGTAGCTCACATGGAAAGGCATGACAGTGTATCTATTGTGAGTTATCTCAAGGCTGAACTATAAGAAAAACACTACTATATCTGTGTGGAGAAACTGAGGGCTGAGTTGCTTACAAGAGTCATCTTGCTGTGGTGTATCTTCCAACATAATTTGGCCATAGATATTTTGATCAATTTTTTTCACCTATGAGCACAGTTGAGAAAGTAATGTTCTGATATAATCTGACATTTTATATTTCCTTGTGCCTGTATAAGGCTTAACTTGAAAGTGATAACACAGTGTACTGAGGCATGTAGGTTTGGTGCAGATGTAGAATTTTGCTTCTACTGATGGGTTTGTTGAATACACCAAAAATTAGTGAAGCACAGCATAGAGAAATTTCTTGTAACCACTCAGACATTTAAGCAAATACTTTGTAGGGGACAGCTTACCAATTTTTATCACCTGGTAAATGTCTTTCTGCAGATTTGGTGTTGGTCTTGCCATAACGGTGCTGCTCTTCTCAAAATGTCTGCATTTCCCAAAGAACAGGATGACATCACTTCACAAACACAAAAAGCCTTCTTGGATGGGTCAGTAATAGCTATTCTGTCCACAACACTTTGCTTGGTATGGACCTTGCTTCTCTTTTTCCATATATGCTATATCTTTAAGCTTGCACGCATCAGGAAACAGGTTCTAGGTCTAAAAGTAGTTTTCTGCAGTGGAATGGGTTTAAGCCCTTGGCCTAACAGCATCGGTCAATTGTGCAGGACTGTAACATCACTGCAGGCTTATTTGTGGAAATACATACATATATCAGATGAACCTCTGTACGAACTGTGGCTTGTTATTAGGTAAAGCAGTACCAAAGCCTGTAGGTCTTAAGTACAGTGCAAGTATCATTAGCTCAATTGTGTTTGCAAGTAAGTGAAGTCTAGACTCATCTCTAAACATGAATTTGCAAGCCGAGTTTAAATCTCTCTGAACTCTATCTCAGAACTAGATTTGTGTTCTTACGTCACTTTAGATGAAGTTATTTAAAATGACTGAGGCAATCTAGCAGTTCACTACTGCTACTTTCAGAGGCGATGGCAGAGAGCACTTTGCTTCAGCTGAGTTAGTGAGCTGAATTAGCTCAGCAGTCTGAAAAATGCCAAAGTTAACATAAGAGGAAGAATATAGCTACCTGGCTGAGAGTTATGGCAATGACTTGTTGCTCTCTTTTTCTGTTTTTTTTTTTTAACCTGTTGGGTGTCCTGGAAAAAACTTCTCTCTTAGCAGCAAGCTATTAGATCAGGCTAGTATGTACCATTTGTACTGCTTCACCGCTAGCTCCTTTCTCCTCATAGATCGAGAACCTGTTAATCATGCAGAAAACAGCTTGATAAGGCTCATAAAACCTCTTTTTGTTTTTAAAATTCATTATACTTGCATGGGAAAGGCTTTTGACCCTTCCTACAGATCCTCTAATGTTTCTCCCCTGAAATGGGGAAGTTTACATGACTTACAGCTCTTTGTAGTGCTGTTTCATAGTGTGAAAGTAAGTAGATCTAGCAGTAAGATGTAACAAGGTATCAACTGATATTTTGATCTCCTGTCTGTGGCCATCTGGAGTTGGGGCAGTATTGGTGGTTTTCTTTGCTATGGAGTACTGGTGGTTAACCACTAATACTTAAAAATATATCTACAAATTGCCCATAAGGGTGTGTTAACATGCCATTTTAATAGTAGTCTGAACTCAAGCACACAGCAGATGTTAACAATTAAGAGCTGCTTTTATTGAAAAAGTTGTTTAGAGCCAGATCTTTTAACACAAGTTGTTTACTTCAATTCAGAAGAAGTATCCTAATTGACAAATGATTGCTTTCCCTCAATTCTCTTATCTGATGCATCTTCCAGTAGGCCTAGTAACCTGCATTTCTGATGTGGGCTCTGGTAGTTCTCACTTAAAGCAGGCTTCTGTGCTACAACGTACATGAAACAAAATACTCTGTCCTGTCTGGGCAAGTGCCCAGAAGGCTTCACTTCTGAAATACGAGCTGGAGCAGCTTTTCCCAAATCTTGACAATAAAAAGCCAGCATGACAACAGAGGTATTTACTAAGCTGATGTTCATCTGAGCTCTGGAGCCTGGATGAGAGGGGACGTTCTGCGTCCAAACCAAAGCTTCATCCTCTCCTCCTAGGGGAAAAATTAGCAGATATGTAGGGAAGTACAAGGCAAGTACACTGTCTTGTTTGAGTCCAAATTGTTTCTTTGTTCTTTTTTTCATGTGTTTCATTAGCAGACCTGGCAGCTAGGTATCAGAATGTAGTTTGGTTGGTAAAAGTCAAGAAAAATTGTGTCTGCTGGGAAGTTTAGGTGTTTCTATCCATCTCCTCTCTCTGGATTCACCTCTAAATAGCCCACTAGTAGAGTAATTTTGGTGTGTCTATTGAAGACAACACTAAAGAAGCAGTAGTAAAAATCAAGTAATGCTTGTAATATTCATAACTGCACAAATGTGCACGAATATAATTTTATTGGTGTAACAGTTAAGAGCAGCAAAACTTGTCATAAGCTTGTAGGCAAGCTTCTGGCCAGTATTTAAAAATGCATGGAGGCCATTAGCTTTCCAGGGTGTGTATCTTTTCGTCTTACAGCTGTTTCCCAAACCATGCCTATTAACTTTGTCTTCAGTGATAATAGTTGGTGCATTATTTGACTTGTGAAGCAGAAGGCTTTAATCTCTTGATGATTTGATTTAGAATCTATAAGACAATTAGCAAACCTCCCTATGAACTCCTGAAGATGGATGACTTGTCAAGCAGCCTTCCATCTCTGCAAGATATCCAGATTGCATACACAAGATTTAAACAGCTGTTTTTGATAGGTAAGTCAAACTTAGTCTTTTGTCTCTAAAGTGACTGATATGCAAAGCATAACAATGCTGTTTTATATCTCATGAATGCAGTCCTTGTCTTGATTGGTGTCTTGCTTTTGACAGTGGTTAGAAGCAGGCTTTTAAATACGTAACTGAAGACTCTGCTTATGGCTGGTGTGTTAATGGAGATTTGTAGCTCTTAGACTTACTACCTCTTGCTAAGCAGTCACAGTATCTGAAAATGATTTTTAAAGAGAGTGACTATGGAGTTTAAATGTTAGTTGGATTGAAATTTATGGGAGAGATTTTTGAATTTTCTGTGGTCCATTGAAATTGAATGTTAATTATTAACGTTTTAAGCCTTGGTGCTATGTCAAGAATTGAGACTAAATGTTAATTAATTTTTGCCTTAGCTTTTGTTACAAACCGGTCACATCTCAAAACATATGAAACGTGAGCTTGTTTAAAATTTTGTCACTCTGGCTGTAGCGCTAAACATGACTACTGTAAATAGTAAGTCCACTTGAAAGGAGTAAAAATGGGAGCCAGGAGGCTTTCAGACTCTTTTGGGACTCCTTAACTATTTTGCTGTCATGAAACAGTACTTTGATCTCACCTCATGGCATGAAAAAAGCTCTACACCACCTTGCAACTGTGCAATGTGCCATTGGGCCATTTTGGACAGTGGGTCTTCTATGAGATAATGAGGGTAAATGTTGCAATAACCTCTGTCTGGTGGCATGCTGAACACTGGGGCAGTTCACATATGGCTATTGATGTTGGACACAATGGAACTGATCATCATTGAAGAACTGTATATTTAAAAATGTAGCCTACAGACAGTGTCTAAGTCCTGTTGGTTTTATACATGGAATTTAGCTGGTAAGTTGGTATTGATTGCAAACTAGTATGAATGGTTTCTGGTAAATATGCAGTAAAGATTTCAGTGACACTCCAAGGAGAAGTCTAAGATACACGAGGTATTTGGCAGACTTTCACATTGAGGATTTTGTCTAGAATACACTGTCAAATCCACAGTGAATCTTTCGTACTACTTAGGAGCTAAAAATAATTACCTATATTTTCATGTAGCTTCTGGTAACTTACCCTCCTGTAGGAAAAAGGCCAAAGCTTGAACTTAAGTCATTTAACATCTTTCAGGAAATACTGCATATTTCCATGGTGTAATTGTATTATTGTCTTACATTACTTGAAGCAAAAGGGAATATGTTAAAACTGCATTCCAGTAAGTGTTTTGGTCTTACAGCTTTTTAAATAAGCTTTGTTAGTAGGCTATAGCTCACTGAATATAGTACTATGCACTAGCAGTCTGAGAAAACCATTCAGCTAACTTCTTGCAGAAGTATTAAGATCTTACAGGAATTGACTACTTTACTACTATTTTTCAAAGTCTGAACACATTAACCATTACTTTTGTTCTATACTTGCCTAGTTAATTTGATTTAGGTAACTTCCAGTGTAACTTAAATTTCCTGAACACATGCCCAAACTGAAGTTTCAGTTATAAAAATCCTCATTAAGCAAAGCAGAAACCACAATAGTAGGTAGCTGCTTGAAAGAGGATTTTGATGGGGAAACCTTGAATCCTCTTAAATTGTTCCTCTTATTTGAAATGTTGCAAAGGCAGATGCTGGTTTTGCTAGATGGCATACAATGAGACTTGTGAGCAATTTCCCCACATACCTTAAATGAGACTTTGAACACTTCAGTTCTCAAATCCTAGTGGAGTATTTCTTCATTGTCCTAGAAGTTAAGGAGGAAGGGAAAGCTTGCTCTCTGTTGTGATGTTATTAAGCAAAATACCTTGATTAAGGGGTAAAACAAGCTGTAAGTGTTTTGTTGTGCCTTCAAAAAGTTCCTGTTTTGACTTGGAGATGACTTTGGCGGAGAACTGCCAGACCATGCAATTGTTTGGCCTGCATAGAGGCCTGCATACAAGTGGTTGAGTTTGTGGTTGAGCATGATTGAACAAAACAAACAAACAGCCACACTGAATGTGGCTACTCAACTTTTCAGAGTAAAACTCTTCTGTACTGTCCATAACGTAAGAGAACTAAAGAAAACTTCATTATGGAATATAAATGTTATTGCTATAGATGAAAGCCTGTTATTTCTACAGGAAAAAAAACAGAAATCCCTTTTCCTTGGTATCATGGGTTTTGGGTGGTTTTGAAGGACTAGAAATTGGACTATAATTTTGCCTTGATTCAGAATGGACAGAGGTTTTTCAAATAGTGATGGCATGCTAAATGGAACGTGAGATTTGGGTGCAAGGGAATATTCTAAAACTCGGAAAGAGGGTGAACTGGGAAGTAAAGGGTATCTTACTTGAAGTACTGTAATGTATGTACTTTAAAGGGTATCATACTTAAAGGTTGGAAGTTAATTTGAAGATGTTAATCAGGAAAGATTGGAGAAAACTACATCTAATGTGAACAGAACTGACTAGGGAGCTTTGAAGATGCATTCTAATGCTTATTTTGTGGTAAGTAGTTTCTATGGCCAGGGTGGAATGAATCAGGGAAAGAAAGTTTTTTTTGTTGTTTGTTTTTTTAATGTGTAATGAACAGAATGAGGGGCACAAGCATGCATGGAGGCAGAACAGCTACAGGAACAAAATAGATAAATACCTGTGCACTTGAGGATCATAGATGCAAGCTGCAGAAAACAAGATAGAAGTGAGTATGTGTTGGAAGTAAACATTGGAAGCATATGGAGAGACTTTGGGAGGTGAAAAGAAGCTATACAGAAACATGCAGAACTGAAGATATCAGGGGGAGAGGAGGGAAGGAGGGAAGTGTGGTGTATCTCAGTTGTTTCTCAATAGTAGAACTGACATAGACCTTGGGCTTCAAGGTTTGTGTCTTATGCAGGAAAGGTAATCTTTTCTGGTTTTAATTGACTGTATCAGCTTGTGAGAGCTTTCCAGTTTCTGAATACTGGCTTTGATAGAAATAAAAGCAATAGATATTTAGGTTGCATTTAACCAGCTACAAAAATCCTAGTGAAACTCAGAGTTTAATGACTGTGGTACAGTACTTGGCCTCCTGGTTTATCTTAACGGTTCTTTTTTTGATGTATTTTAATGTCTCTTCAGTTGCAGTGAAAACTGCTTAAAACCTTTTTCAGGTAGTCTTACATACCATAAATTTGTGTAACCCCCTTCTAAAACCCATTCGTGTTTCTGGCTCTAGTGGTAATGACTTTCAAAATCCAGCCTCCTTATGTTAAGCTTTATATAGATCATGCTTTAGAGTCAAGGCAACTGGAACTTGGAAGAACCATCTCCTCTGATTAAAATTCTCTTCTTTTCCTTTCCCATTTTGTCAACAGATTTATTTACTTGGTTTGGTTGCTATGAACCTACAGCATACTTTTTCTAAAAGCCTATGGTGCTATAAAACTTCACTGGTGTTTGTAGGACTACTTTACTTCCTCATTGAGTTATAGGGTGTTGACTTTAATAGTGACTAGGATTTTCTGACTCCTTAGTATCATTTGTTTCATAACAGCTCATAACTGAAAAGTAATACAATCGACGGCTGTTAATTAGCACTACATATATGTGAACAAACCAATTTTTGGTTTTGGTTTTTTTGCAGATAACAGTACAGACTTCTGGGCAACTGATGTGAAATGGTTTTCATTACTGGAGAGCACAAACTGGCTAGAGATAATCAGGTTTGCTATATCTGTAACCTTCTGGGTTTCAATTTGTTGTTAAATGCATTTGTAGTGGGTTTTCTAGGTAGTGTCTTGAAACATGATGACATTCTTCACCTCCAGTAGGAAATAAAATTAAGACAGACTTATGGTCCCATTTATATATCTTATTTCCACAACTTGAGACAGTATTTTTACAGTGCGGTCTTGTGTTAAGCCTCCCACATGAAAGGACGTGAGAAGCAGCAGATCATTCCATTCCAGCAAATCTATTAAAACTATAGATCCAGTAATTTCTCTCCTGCACTTAGTCACCTTCTTTCCAAACTGAAGTATCCTATTTGTTTCTTGCATGAAACCTATTGCATGTCTCTGACTAGCCTTGCCGTTCTTCTCTGTACTCTCTACTTTTGTAATATCCTTTAGGACGGGATGAACTGCAGTATTCAAGATGTTAGCCCACCAAAGATTTATAAAATGACAGTTGTTTTCAGTTTTGCCCCCTTCCTCTCCTGATTGTTCCTCAAGTTCTTTTTTCTTCTCTCAGCAGTCCACAGTGAGTAAGTGTTGGAATGGTGTTGGCTAACTTAAGGCTTGTTGTAGTGGAATGTTGAGGGATTTTATTTGTTTTCAGTGTTACTTTGTGCTAGCTCTACTGTCTGCCAGTTTATTCTGTGATCAGCTTGTTACCATGAAGTGCTTCTGCAGTCTTCTGCAGTCAGCTTCAGTTCTTTCTAGTCTTAAGAGCAATCAATAAATATTGATAATTACTCATTCCTTAATCCAGAATTTAAATGTATGTTGAATGAGAGGTTCTAGTGAAGATCACGTGTTGAGAAGTGCATTGACATTACAAAGATTACAAGTAGTTTAAAGTAAATGCCAGCCCGAGTTCCTATCCTTATGTTGCTTTGAGACTGGTCATTTCCATACTTGGATCCAGTTGCTTCCTGGATCAGCCTGTTCTTGGCTCTTGCAGTTAGTAGGAATGCCTTCTCAGCTGTTCTAGATGCTAGAACAAAGAATGTGACAACTGCACACTTACGAAGTAAATTGTCAGCTTCCCTTAGTGACCTAAGCAGTTGCAAGAATCCTAATTTGTGTGCAAACTTTTGCTGAAAATAACCAACTTTATGAAGAGTTAGGTCTAGAAACCAACAGTGTTACATCTGTTTTTATGTGATCTTTAATTCCACTCAGTCTTCCTTGTGTAATGATAATCTCTGAATAAATTTTGTCTGCATGTTTATAAGATCTGATTGCTGATCCCTCCCTCTGCTTCTTAAAACCAGATTATGTGAGAAATGTAGTATGTAGTAGATTACAACTTAAGTGTGGTGATGTCGACTCTTTCCAGGATAAAGATCTGGCTCTTAGTAATTGTAATACTTTAGTGTGTGCATGTAATGGCTGCTGTTGATCCAGAATGAAATATTGTATTACAAATGTACAAAGATAACAACTGGAAATGGATGACCAATGGCCAAATAAAGATACCTCTTGACAGTTTGCTCTTAAGGCGAAACAGTTCTTCATTTACACAAGTTGAGCATGGTTTTTGTTGTTTTAAAGGACTAGTCAAGTTTCAGTAGTATAACATCCTAACCCCTTTTAGGGTAAACTAATGTAAAAAAATTAATTGCAAAAATGCTATGAAAATCTTTTCCTGTACCACAACAGGCGAGTCTTGAAGAAAGCAATAGAAGTTGCTGAGTGTCTGGAAAGACAGCATACAAACGTTCTCCTTATAGGTAAGAATTTAATGAGATTATCCTATGTATTTTCTAAAATTTCTTTTGAATTCCTTTAGATGTAGCTTAAGCCATAAGTTTATAATTATGGTAGAGGCTGGTAAAATTCATAGAGTACGCAAAGTACCAGACACCCAAATCTTTCATGCTCCTGGAAATGCTTCCTGTAGTTAAAAAAACATGGTAAGCATACTTCCAGGCGAGGAGAAATATGTTGTGAATGAGAAAGCTGCTGATAATTTGGCAGGAAAGTCATGCTACCTCTTGTTTATGCATTCCTGTTTCCTAACTTTTTTATTAAAGGTCTCCTAGACCTTTTGCTGTACTTTTAACGGGGTAGAGGGACACACCTGCACAAAGAACACAGAGCCTGAAAACTTTCTGAAAGGATGCTTTTATGTTCTAGATACACACTGAGTACTATGTGGTCTCTTTATTAAAAATAGGTGAAAGAATATGCTTATTGTTGTAAAGACTGAGTAAAGTAACCGAACTCAATGTTAACTATTATGCTATTTTGGGATTAGTAATGTAGGGTTTTTTTTTTCCCACACACTGCCATTTGAGAAACCTAGCATGGGGAACAGATGTTTCTAGAAGGCACTTGAAGGGTGAAGAATGCATGTTTCACACCTTGTGAAAAGATGCATGTAGGATAGGAAGGGGAAGGGCAGATAGCTGGCCTGGTTCAGACAGGAGGGGCAGTACGTGCATTGTGGGAGACTGAAGGGCGTAGGCATCAAAGTTAAAGTAGTAAAAGTTTGGGTTTTGCAGGTTTTATGATCAAAGTATTATCCTACTATAAGTGTACACGAAACCTTATGCTTTTACAGAGGGAATTATTGGAAACAGGGATTAACTTCTCTCTGATGCTGTAACACTTGTAAGAAATTGTGTGCTTCTCTAATCTTGAAATACAATTTTGTGTATGTGAAGCTAGCAATACTTTGCTTTCCTACCCAAAGTTTTAGGAATGGCTTAGAGACAATGTGGTTTCTCTTCTCTTCTGTAGAAGAGAGTGCTACTGATCTGTGCTGTGTAATCTCTAGCCTGGTTCAAGTGATGATGGATTCATACAGCAGAACAAAGTCAGGGTTTCAGAGCCTTATTCAGAAGGAGTGGGTAATTGGAGGACACGGCTTTTTGGATCGTTGTAACCACTTGCATAAAAGTGACAAAGAAGAGGTATGGGGGTTTTTTATTACTTTCCTTACTATTTAAAAGTGTACTAGGCATAAGGAGGGATTTAGATGTCAGTCTGGAAGTTCCAATTACTCTGAGGATCTTTAATTTTATGTTTTGTTTTATGGGTTGATGTTTTTTACAGTGTCACTATTTTTGTTTTTTAGAGTTCAGCAATGTCTTTATAACTAAAGAGAACAAATGTAAAATTTCCCATTCAGTCTTGGAGTTTTTTGAAAGACGTATCTCATGCCCTTTCAAACTGCATTAAATGGTACTAGTGTTCATAGAAATAACTCAAGTGAATTGCCTATTGTCATATCTAGAGTTTAACTTTATACTGTCTTGCTAAATGTTGCAGTCTCACCTCCCTATTTTTATTTATATTTTGGGAATAGATCAGATTGCTATGCAGAATGGAAATCACAAGTGTAAACTGACTACTTCTGATCAAGAACTGCTATAAACTAGTTTTGCTTTGACAACTTTAAAGCAGCAGCTTTCATAGCAAGTTCATGTGTGCAAATTCAGATTAGAAAGTGTTCACCTCTTCTGTCAACAGTTGGCCAAGGGTAGCTCAGATGATACTTCTTCAGAGTTCAGCCAAAGTTATATGGAGCAGTTCTGTAGTTAACCAGATTGCTTTCCTTAAGACTTGTATTTGGCGACACTAAATACTGTAAAATAGTCGGCATGGTGGAACATACTTTTTTCTGAAACTGAAGCAATATTTTCTTTACTTAGGCTCCTGTTTTTCTGCTCCTGCTAAATTGTGTTTGGCAGTTGGTACAACAGTATCCTCCAGCATTTGAGTTCACAGAAACTTACTTAACTGTCTTGTCAGACAGCCTCTATGTGCCTATTTTTAGCACTTTCTTCTTCAACTCGCAACATCAAAAAGACACTAATATGGTAAGGATTTGTTATTTTGTGGATGCAATGTGTTGGAGAACAGGTTTGACCAACAAGCAAGGAACACTCAAAAAAAAAAAAAAATCCCTAGCAGCACGGTTTTCCATACTTATTTGAAGGGTGGTGCCTTGAAGGGGGAATGAGTGCAACTTTGGGTGTAAGAAGTCAAGTTCAGGACTTAGGAGTTTATGATGACAAAAGGAAAATAATTCAGGAATATATTACTTCTAATGTGTGCTTATAGGTTCATATTATTTCTTTTCAATGAAAATGGAGCTCCTTAATGTAAGAGGAATATCCTGCTGTCCTGCAGAATAAGTTATCCTCAAAACTCTTGTATAGCATACTCTGTTGTTTTCCAAAATCAACATTTCCTGAATGTTGATTTACATTTGGTTCATGCTTTTCTCTAGCCTAAGAAGCTGGAAGCAATGGGAGTATCCTTTGCAAGGCTGCACAGAGACTAAAAAAAAATAAAGTGAAGATCACTGTCTTGCATATAAATAAAGCACTGATCATAAAATTTAAACTGGTAGCACTGCATAACTGCAGTTAACTTTTGAAGTTTGGAGAGGTGTATTCCACAATCCTAACATGCCCCCTGTGTGTGAGGAATTCAAGTGTCTATCTCCTGCCCCATTTTCAAAACTTAATTTTTCTCCTTAGATTATTTGATCTTATGTTCAACTGTGAAAGGCATTCTTGGTGCTGTCTAATTGCACTGTTGAAATGAAATACTGTCTGAAGTTACAGAGAATAATATTTGTGTCTGTACTCACTTGCATCATTCAGCTATTGAATACATAGAAATCATGAGTTATTGCAACTCTGTGGCCTCTTCTGTGAAAAGCCAGTTTCTTAATTTCACCTTGACTTGGTCAGAATTCCTTTCTAGCAGTATTAATTGTGACCTGTTTGTTTTGGCAGAGTGGTGAAAGCCTCAAGACACAAAGCACTCCTTTCAGATTTCTTACTGTGTGGGACTGGTCTGTGCAGTTTGACCCCAAGGCCCAGGCTTTCCTGAACAACCCTCTTTATGCAGAGAAGCCAAAACTAGATAAAAGTCAACGGAAAACTGCGCGATTCAAAGTAAGATATGTGCTGCTTAACTATTTTTTTAAACGATAAAGTATTTTGCACACTTATACTTCAAATGTACTCACAGTGGAAGTGTTTTTGCGAAGATTTTTATTTTGTGTTCACCTCTTCTGTCAACAGTTGACCAAGGGTAGCTCAGATGATACTTCTTCAGAGTTCAGCCAAAGTTATATGGAGCAGTTCTGTAGTTAACCAGATTGCTTTCCTTAAGACTTGTATTTGGCGACACTAAATACTGTAAAATAGTCGGCATGGTGGAACATACTTTTTTCTGAAACTGAAGCAATATTTTCTTTACTTAGGCTCCTGTTTTTCTGCTCCTGCTAAATTGTGTTTGGCAGTTGGTACAACAGTATCCTCCAGCATTTGAGTTCACAGAAACTTACTTAACTGTCTTGTCAGACAGCCTCTATGTGCCTATTTTTAGCACTTTCTTCTTCAACTCGCAACATCAAAAAGACACTAATATGGTAAGGATTTGTTATTTTGTGGATGCAATGTGTTGGAGAACAGGTTTGACCAACAAGCAAGGAACACTCAAAAAAAAAAAAAATTCCCTAGCAGCACGGTTTTCCATACTTATTTGAAGGGTGGTGCCTTGAAGGGGGAATGAGTGCAACTTTGGGTGTAAGAAGTCAAGTTCAGGACTTAGGAGTTTATGATGACAAAAGGAAAATAATTCAGGAATATATTACTTCTAATGTGTGCTTATAGGTTCATATTATTTCTTTTCAATGAAAATGGAGCTCCTTAATGTAAGAGGAATATCCTGCTGTCCTGCAGAATAAGTTATCCTCAAAACTCTTGTATAGCATACTCTGTTGTTTTCCAAAATCAACATTTCCTGAATGTTGATTTACATTTGGTTCATGCTTTTCTCTAGCCTAAGAAGCTGGAAGCAATGGGAGTATCCTTTGCAAGGCTGCACAGAGACTAAAAAAAAATAAAGTGAAGATCACTGTCTTGCATATAAATAAAGCACTGATCATAAAATTTAAACTGGTAGCACTGCATAACTGCAGTTAACTTTTGAAGTTTGGAGAGGTGTATTCCACAATCCTAACATGCCCCCTGTGTGTGAGGAATTCAAGTGTCTATCTCCTGCCCCATTTTCAAAACTTAATTTTTCTCCTTAGATTATTTGATCTTATGTTCAACTGTGAAAGGCATTCTTGGTGCTGTCTAATTGCACTGTTGAAATGAAATACTGTCTGAAGTTACAGAGAATAATATTTGTGTCTGTACTCACTTGCATCATTCAGCTATTGAATACATAGAAATCATGAGTTATTGCAACTCTGTGGCCTCTTCTGTGAAAAGCCAGTTTCTTAATTTCACCTTGACTTGGTCAGAATTCCTTTCTAGCAGTATTAATTGTGACCTGTTTGTTTTGGCAGAGTGGTGAAAGCCTCAAGACACAAAGCACTCCTTTCAGATTTCTTACTGTGTGGGACTGGTCTGTGCAGTTTGACCCCAAGGCCCAGGCTTTCCTGAACAACCCTCTTTATGCAGAGAAGCCAAAACTAGATAAAAGTCAACGGAAAACTGCGCGATTCAAAGTAAGATATGTGCTGCTTAACTATTTTTTTAAACGATAAAGTATTTTGCACACTTATACTTCAAATGTACTCACAGTGGAAGTATTGGTGCAAAGCTTTTTAATTGACAAAATACATGTACGCCTCAGACTCACCTGGATCTTAAGAATACAGTTTGCACCTGCCTCAGTTATAAATCCGTGTTTTACAGTTACTGTTCATAGCAGTGAACGTAGGGGTTTTTTCCTTCATACTTTTGTGCAGGTGAAGTGATAACTCATGGGACTTAACATCCAGGTGAGTTGCACTGATGTGTTTGAAGTGAGTTTATTTTGTTGCTCCACGGAGTACCTAACTGAAATACATAGCAGGGTTATAATTGCCTCCCTAATTTTGTCGGAGTGCAACTGGAGTGTGTACGTGCACTTGGAGGGGGAGGGGGACCAACAACAAAAACTGTCTAGGGTATGGAGGATTATGGGTGGACCACCTCGTTACTGGAAAGTAGCACAAATTCAGTAAGAAAAGTTTTGTTCTTTTGATTCTAATATCTCTGTACAGAAATTCTGTTCTGTACAAAGTATTCTCGAGTGAGATGCTGTCAGTATGATCTACAGCATTAATCAGAGAACTCTTACGCGGTGGGATGCAATGAGGAACCACTGGATAAAAAATTCTAAATCAAGTGCTTTTTGATTTGTGTGGCTAGCTTAAACTAAACATGGAAGTCTGTAATACTTGAATGTATGCAAAGAATTCTCCTTTTTCAAAGAAAAATGCTTTATTCAGTGTTACTTCATTGCTATAGTTACAGTGCAGGGAAGGGATCTGGGAGTACGAAGTATGCTGTGAGAAGTATTTGGTGTAGTAGTCACTGACGAGTAACAGTTTTAGACTATACAGCAGGGCAGTGGCTGTGTTTAAGCGTATTTGTTGCTTGTAAGTATTTTCTGAATACAAGTTATGTTTTTCTTCCTCTTAAAATGTTTTCTAAAGTCCCATCAATATTTATCTTATTATATTTTTCTTTTCTTTCCTCTTAAAGCATCAACGGCAACTTTCTTTACCACTGACGCAAACAAAATCTTCCTCGAAGAGAGGATTTTTCAGGGAGGAAACAGATCATTTAATTAAAAACATTCTGGGTAAAAGAATTGGCAAGTTCATAAATTCTTCAGATGAACCTCCTAATAGCTTCAGGGAATTCTATGACAGCTGGCACAGTAAACCTGTTGACTATCACGGTCTTCTGTTACCTCGCATCGATGGCCCTGAAATCAAAGTCTGGGCACAACGGTATTTACGATGGATTCCTGAAGCCCAGCTTCATGGTGGTGGTACAATAGCCACAGCTGCCAAGATTTTGGACTTGATGGAGGAAGTGCAAAGCTTGCAGGTGAAAATGGATGAAGAACATAGTCAAGCTGTTTCTGGAGATGTACATTCTGTTCCAATGCTGAGAAATTCTGCCCGTTTGTCATCCTTGTTTCCATTTGCTTTACTTCAGAGACAGTCTATCAAACCAGCTTTACCCACTAGCACCTGGAAGGACTTGGAAGATGAAGATGACTTGGTCAAGAGGGATGATGAATTTGTTGATCTAAGTGGTGATATGTGATAAAGTATATATAAATTAAAGTATGAATTGTATGTGGCTAAGCTCTGAGTTTTAAATGTTGTGCTGTGTCTTCATATAAGGAAGTCACTCAAGCATCTGCAGGCTGTTTAATGGGTGCGTGGGGTCAAAAAAACCCCTTGGTTGGAAAGAACTAGTTGCCGTGATTAACTGAGCGTATTTTGAACTTCCATTTCACTCTAACGTTATTTACTGCAGAAACACATTTTTAGTATAGGTGTAATAAGAACAGAAGTCTAGGCTGGAGCAGCCATATGGCCACTTTGTTTAGAAAAAGAAAAACAAACAAGAAAAAAATTTCTGATATAAAGGTGGAATACCAAACACATACAGCAACAATCGCTATCTGAACATAAAATCTCTTCCCCTTATCCTAAGAGTACTAGGATTGGAAGTACTGTGACTGGGAACTTAACACATCTGTGTTTCCTCCTCCAGGGGAAGGTGCAACTAAATGTGCATTCACAAATAAGCTTTTTACAGCTGAGGAATAAACTTGTGGTCACTAGGGGTTTTCTGTCTACTGTGGCATCGACTGAAGTCATGTGCTTGTTGACCTCATCTTTTCTGACAGTGTTTATCTTTGGCTTGCAGCACTTCACCTTGTGTGGTATTATAATAGCAGCTTGGCTGCTCTAAGCCTGTGCATGCACTTAGCTTACGGATCAGATGCAAGAGTTTAACTACACATTTCAAGTCTTATTGTGTGGCTGCTGTGCTATACACCCTTGCTGCCTTGGAATATAAGTCCCACAGGTTTGCTGTTAATTGTAAGAAATGGCCTGACTCCGAGATTCTAATTTGCCATGAGTATTTTCTCTCCTTTTAATACAGTGAGACTTTCATTTTGACTTGCCCCATTTATGCCAGTTGCCTTTGAGGCTTTCTGTAGCTTGCACTGAGACCCTCCACATAGAAGGGAAGACTGTCTGTAATCCTGCAGTGAAGCTGGGTTTGCGTCTGTTGCCACTTGTCATGAGTTGGTGGTACAGCTTATGAATGTGGCGTTCATACCATATGAACACTCGCATCCTGTTTCTGGATGTTATAACAGTACCTCAGTGAAAAAAGCCATAAAGAAATGCCTGTTGACGTTGACCTACTGTGTGTATGTTTATATATAAAGTATTTTTACTGCAAATAATCGTCCTTTGTAAAGTTGAATATTAGAAGACTGTCAAATCTATTTTGAACCCTTAATGTCTAGAATACCCCAAGAATGGATGCAAGTCATATAATCAGTTAACGCTGAGAGGGTAGACATTGAATATTTTCTCTATTCTCACACCAATTTAGAAATCCATGCTGGAAAACTTAGGTGGTGGAGAAACTGTTGCTTGAATTGGATCAGCTCAGTGTAAATTGGGGATATTAAACTGGGTTACTGATCAATCACTTCACACTGAGTTGTATTAATATGTATAGCAAAAATTTATCAGCAGCCCTCTAAAAATATATTTATTTTAACATACTAAAATTTATTAATGGGGAAAGGAGGAGAGCTTAATGCAACTATGCCAAATTGAACTTCCCAACTCTTGATTGCCTTAAGTCTTAGTAGCGTGAGGACAATACTTGAGTTTGTAGCGTTTTATTTAAAAATACACTAGTACTTATGCTTTCTTCTGTGACACATACGATCTTACAGCCAGCACGTGTCCTTCAGACTTTATTATTGTAGTTCAAGTGAGTCATGTATGCAATAATACTTTGCATGTTGAATGAGCAATGCATCTTTATGACAAAGAAATACCTACCATTCTAAGGTTATTTGGGTTCAAGGGTTTTTTTTAAACACTGCCATTAGAAAAAAATATTAAATGGATTTTTCTATACTTTTGATCAAACTGTTGTAATGTTTCAGTCATGAAGATTACATATTTATATTAAAGAACAGATGTTGGACATCTTATTTGTACATAAGTTATCAGAAGTTTATATAGAAGAGAAACATATATGTGGAATTGGACATGGGAACACTTCTAATGTAGAGTAAATACCATTGTTACTGGTTTTCTGCACTGTGGGATTGGAAATGTACTTAATATTTTTACTCCAGGCTTCTGTTTATACCTCCAAGTTTTTACACTGAATGCAAGCTAAAAGCTTTACAGTTTTGTTTTTTTAATACTGTCATTTCTCTCTAGCAGGCTGTTTGGAGAGTGTCAATAAAATATACTTTGACATATTTGTCCTGAAATGAGAATGTATGTTTAAGGTCATATTTTGCAAATGATGCTTTCAATCATAGCAAACTTGACAATCTGCAGTGACAAGGCTTTTCTAGTTATATGCTGGGTTTTTATAGACTGTTACAGGGAGGAAACTGCAGTTTTGACCTGGTTATACTTACTGGAGAGGTGCTGTCAGCTCAGGAAAGAGGGAAGTTCAGTGCAGTGTAGTAGGGTGACTATGGGAAGTTACTAAGGTGGTCTAGAAGAATGTCAGTATTTGGGGGTTTATTAAACACTGTTTATTTCGGTCTTAGCAATGTACTTGTCTTCCCCCATCTCAAGGGGGAACACTGTTCTTACAGCGTTAAACTAAGCAACTTGAAATCGCCACAGCAGGGTGTTTCTCAAACCAAATGTGTATTGAGCATGGGCTGGGAGATGGTCACAGTGGGCCAAGAGTACAAATTTAAAACTTCTGTTTTTTTCCAGAGATTACAAAGCACTAGCTTCTGTACAAAAACAGCACTAGTGCAAATCACACATTCAAAAATCATGTGACTTTGGGTATTTCCTAAAGAGAATGTTACAAGACTGAGAGCCTTGTTCTTGGAGTCTGATACAGTAACAGCTTATGCAGCAGCTGTGAAGTGCCTCCTCATGTAGCACAAGGTGTGCCTCTGCCCCACCCACATCTAAAGGTCAGCGGGTGTACTTGACCGCTTGGCTTTGATTTAAGACTGCGTTCACTAGCGAAAATGTTCGGCTATTGATGTACACCGTGTTGGAATGCTCCAGTTAAAGCTTTTTCCATTCATGCTCAAAGCATGGGAGCATAACTTCTTCAGGAGGCAGTAGAATACTTTCTGCTGTAGATGGCTTATGATGGATTAGTTTTGTCACACCAGAGGTTACCTTCACTCTAACCTTTAGCTGGAAATCTCACAGCCAGTATTTACTGACTGGTACTCTCTTGAAAAAGAGCTAGGTTTTGCATAAAACTCTATTTAGAAATTCTGTGGGATGGACTTCATTTTCTGGGACAGGGAGGAGACGGATTACTGAACTCTTGAGTCTAAAAAGAGCATTTTATATACAGAACTATATATGCCCTTCAGGATGAATTTAGTGGTTGGGGGGGTGGGAGGGGCAAAACTCTTCTTCTCATGGTCTCAGGTCCTTTATCTTGGCTTATAAAGTTAACTTGTGACAGATGTTTTTTGTCAGCATTTGCAGGATGGCAGAACTCTTACCCGGTGGGATAGTAGAGTTATCTTGGAAAGGAGTGGACACAGGTGAGGATAGCTGATGTTTGAGCTGGAGAAACAATTTTGTGGGGAAGGCACCTCCATGCTGAATACAAAGGGAGTAGAAGTGGGGGTTGTTCAGGCTGTGTTAGAAGAACATGGAGGAGACTGCAGACAGTTCTGAGCCACGGAGAGGCTTGCTTGGGAGGTAAGTCTGACTTTAAAGAGTATCAGCTTTAAACTTGTTATGGAGGCTGAGGAGATGTTAATAGAGGACTGCTAACATCTTGGCAAGTGTTTGTATGGGCAAGGGACGCTTGATGCTGCCACATTTTGGGCTAATGTGAAGCCTTGTCCTCATGTGGAAACTCTGTGGAACAGTAAACGCTGTTGCTCGATTGCAGGATGTTACTCCACTTCCAATGAGATTTTGGTTTCTCAGTTTATTTCAGCAATCCGGTAAAATGAAATAGGTACTTCCCTTAATGTTATGCCTGGATGCTTAAAGCATTTTATATATATATATATTAAAAAAACCCCATATACCTAGAAGTGCATTTGTTAATTTATTTTGTGAAGAGCAGAACTATGAAGACTGATTTCTCATGGCGTTGTCTTGTCTGGCCATACCACAGTGCCCTCAGCTTCGTCCTTTCCTCTGGTGTTTCCTACCCTTGCTCATACCACAGCATCTTCAGTCTTCCCTCCGTCCATCTCCTCTCTGTTCTTAAGTCATGTGCTGTATCAGCAGTTAAGAGGTTTGTCATTGCTACTAACTTGCTGGGCAAGCCAAATTCAGTATCTCGGTTCCTGGGGGGCCAAGAAAATGGACATGACTTGGTGCGGCCAGGCCATATAATCTCCAGACTGCCTGTTGGAATCCAGTAACTTTTGAAAGCTATTTCGGTCAAATATGATCAAAACTATCCTCCGGTTTCCAAAGCTTTGGTGCAGGTGCGTGGAGAGGAGGCTGATTAGCTGCACTGTGTGGTTACAAAGGAAATTGGGGTGGGAGAATGAAACTAAAACCCCTGCACCTGCAGCTCAGGCATGATTCAAATCTGCAGTTTTCAGGCTAAAAGCAATGCATCTCCCAGACAGGAAAATCTACTTATTTACAGTCAGATCAGGTATCCCAGTTTTCTCTTAGTGCAACATTTTTTTTCTTTATCTTGGGTAATATCTGTTTTTGTGTTCTGAAATAAACTTTTCATTATACCATACGAGCCAAAATTCAGGCTAGGGAACCGTTGAGTTTTCTGGAAATGACTGACATTTGTATGACTTCTGAAAGGTTGCTTGTAATCCTTATTGTTCTTTTTATTCCCATCTGAATAAAATTTCCAATTAAGAACAGCTAACACAGCTAGAATTAATGTACAGTTTTGCTAATTAAGAGTGTAAATCTTCAAGTATTTTATAAATACTAGTAAACTTTTAAATGTCAGAGCTTTGTGGACTCGCTAGCTAGCTCACTTCTGCAGTCAGTGGGATTCACTTCCTTTTGTTTTTCTACAGGCATTGATTTTAACTATGTTTACGTGTGAATGTGATGACAGAGAAGCAGATTTTATGCAGAGGGCATAAGTGCTCGTTGCTTCATGTCTTGTTGATGATGCAAGAAGATATTTCAACTTTCACTATGACCCCAATTCACAAATCAAAACAGCATGCTCCTTACCAAGCTCCTTAAGTTCCCTACA